CTATCAGTAATTAGTGGGGTTAATTCTGTGTGTGTGTGTAACTCATATGCTATTAGGGATCCTGTATGTAACCAACAAAGTAATGAACCCACAGTTATTTCCGGGCATAAATATATTAGAAAAATTATGTTTAAAAAGCCGATGGAATATGAGCCACATCAGTAATTCAAGGGGTAAAAATAAGTAGTTGTCTAGTAGTTGCTAGGGTTGTCAGATTTTCAGGTTAACTTCGTAGGGCGCTCGTTTAGGTTTGATGCAGTATTTATAATTACTATCCGCATATTTCTCATACCTTATTATGGACATTGTAGAACCTTATGTGCACAAAAATAAATAAAAATCAAATTTACCTATGCATTCTATGCATGCTGGTGGACGAGTCAAGGAATTATAAATGGACATCAAAATATAAAGCACTGTATACAGGCTATTCATATTGAATTAAAAGTTTCATTATAAATATTTTAAAGCTGTATGACTTCTTAATGTTATGAACATGTACATGACTCCCATGTACAAAATATCTTAAGCAAAGAACACATGACAAAATCATTTCAGAAAGCATGCTACCCTAAAGACATCACGAGAGTCTAAATCCTTAAATACAGAACAAAAAGTGAAATTATTTCAGAGAAGAACGTTAGCTTTAAGGACGTAACGTGGGGCTAAATCTTTAAGCTTAGAACAAGGGCTAAAATTGTTTAGGAGAAGCACCGTTGTCCTAAGAACATACCGTGGGGCTACGACGAACATGGATGGAATAACGGGTTTTATAGAAATATCGAAATATTGCAAATAATTATTGAAATGAGGTCACGGGGTCAGAATTTTTTGAATATCAACTTATAAAATATCTTCTCTCGATAGACTAATTTCCTAAATCCAAGACATCTAACATTGATTTTGATCCTACCTTCTTGAAGCCAAGGGCTCCTATACTGAAAGGATAGATATGTTAATAGAATAAGTTGAATCAATCTTTCATATATATAGTCTTTAAATCTATATAAATAATACGCTTGCGTTTGTCTATCCGGAACGTTTCTTGCAAATTTCTTGATCAAACACTACAAATTTCATATCGTTAGAAAGGCCTTAATCTGAGGATTTCGGATTGCATACTGACTTTTCCATTCAGAATCACCTTACTTGTTTTTTGCTTATTCAAACTTTTTAATGCAACGAGTATGGTACATGATGCCACAATGTCGTTGTCACCACGTGATGACTGGCTTAGATTTCAACTTTAGTTTTTTTGTTTGCAAAATATTTCATACAAAGAACATTTAACCAGCCTGTAATTTCCTAAAAAAACGAAGATTATACTAAATACAATTTCTGTGAGTTTCTCGACTTATTTAGGTCTAAAATACGCATGCGCAGTTCATTTAAAACCATATGCTTATCACTTTGTGAACAGGCATTCCGACGTTTCTGCGTAATCAGCTAAGTTTGCATTCATTACAACTTTACGTTTACTTTACTTTGCAATAATTTAGCTTCGGTTCGTTTCATAGACTGCTATAAATATCTTTTACCTGCTTTTTTCTTTACTGTGGATTTTATTCTTTGTTTTTGCGAGTTTATTTGTTTCAACTCGTAAAACCGTTTCATACACTGAACACTCATAACTGTTTCATACTCTGTACACTTTTATAAATACCATTACTTTATTGTTTACTTACGTGTAGTTTTATTAAACAAAGTTATGTCTACGTTAGTTTGTTTGTTTGACCGCGTACAATTTTTCTCAAATAGACCAGGATTTATTGATCTAACACATAATGCCTGCAAGAAAGCGTACGTTAAATGGCGTGCATAAAAATTATAGAATAAGTAAAATTCAAGAGAAGGGCATAAAAACTACAGCAAATGTTTTGCGGGTTGCGGCTATTATGTTAATTTAATCCTATACTTAAACTAACGTAAAGAATATCTCTAAAATACAGGTTCTGTCAAAAACTTTGTCAAAGCCAAAAAGAAATTTTACTAGATTTCGGATTGTGTTTTCGTGATTAAGTTCGGATCGTATTAGTGTGATTAACATTGACATCTGCTGCAAACACATGCATGATTAAGTTCGGATCGTATTAGTGTATTTAACATAGACATCTACTACAAACACATGCATGATTAAGACGCATCTACGTAAGACTTGTACAACCAATACAGTTAATAATACTCGCATGACATGTAGGCTAAACAATTCTTATTCTGAATGTGGTTAATCATAACGGGTGTCTTACAATCGCTTTGCCACATGCCTATGTGTATATATATATATGTGTATGTGTACTTACGTGTTCGTCATGATTTTATTGTTAAAAAAAAACGATAATATGGAAATGCGTGTTCGAAACGAAAGATTATCAAGTTTTTTGGACATCTTTGTTTTCATTGGAAAGTTTTCACAGAGAAGACATTATTTTTAAGTATTCCCAGAAATCACTTAGTAACAGTATCGCCATCTATCCTCTGGTCCTCCGGTGGATCAGCGGTAAGTTTATGGATTTACTACGACAAAATCTAGGGTTCGATTCCCAGCGGTGGATAGAGCTCACGCAGCCTATTGTGTGGTTTTGCGCTAAAACAAACAAACATAACTGTCCCCTGAGCCCCCCAGCGGCACAGCGGTATGTCTGCGGACTTTTAACGTTAAAAATCGGGTTTCGATACCCGTGGTGGGCAGAGCAACAGATAGCCCATTATGTAGCTTTGTGCTTAACTTCAAACAAACAAACTGTCTCCTGAGCCTACAGAAGGGTGCCGAGTGGAAAGAAACATCTTCACGTAATTTGTATTCCAACCTAAAAGCGTGTTTTCGTCGTTTCAGCTTCTCGGTGTTTTATAGTACTTCCATTATGAACAGTTTGTGACAACTGATCAGCAAAATTGAGAGATTCGCATTCATAGTGGCATAAATAGAAACTGGATAGGATAGAAAACACCTTGTATGACGGCTCGACAACTGAGGGTAAATACATGCCAACTTAGGGCCATTTTGATTTACATTAAATAAAACCAACATCGCTGAGGTATTCCTAAAATAAAAGTAACTATGTTAGAATCTAAAGCAACATGGAATGTATATAAGAAGTTTTTTCAGACGAGATTAAAGATTTTAGTGCCGATATTTGATAGCTGTATATCTTCTGAAGAGAAGACGTGTATGGGAGTAAATACAAAGTACCTAAATCCTTAAACATAGAACAAGGGGTAAAATTATTTCAGAGAAGCAAGTTACCTAAGAAAGTCACTAAGAGCTAAATCCTTAATTACAAAACAAGGGGTAAAATGATTTCAAAGAGACATATCACCTTAAGAACGTCACGAGGGGCTAAAACCTTAAGCACAGAACAAGGGGTAAAATGATTTCAAAGAGACATATCACCTTAAGAACGTCACGAGGGGCTAAAACCTTAAGCACAGAACAAGGAGTAAAATTATTTCAGAGAAGCAAGTTACCCTAAGAAAGTCACTAGGAGCTAAATCCTTAATTACAGAACAAGGGGTAAAATCATATAAGAGAAGCATGGTACCCTAATTACGTCACTATGAGCTAAATCCTTGAGCACAGAACAAGGGGTAAAATTATTTCAGAGGGGCATGTTACCCTAAGGACGTCATTAGGGACTAAATCTTTGGGCACAGAACAATAGGGAAAATTATATAAGAGAAGCACTTTACCCTAAAAACTTTACGAGGGCTACAAAAATATGTGAATTAAGGCGTTTTATTGAAGTATGGAAATAATATAGATAATTTAGCAAATTAAAATTATCTCAATAATATCGTATACCAAAACCACTAAAACATAAGCGTTGTCTTCTTCTGGTAATTGACGAAAACACAGTCCTGGTGTGTCATTATCATTATAGAAATATACAGTTACACATATGACGTGTCGTGCTAGTAGTGTTTTAGCCTTATATGAAATAATTACTCTAAGGGTGGAGCTTGGCCTTGTGGTTAGAGTGTCCGACTATGGATCTGCGTGTGCTCCGTTACGGCAACAAATAGTAATAATAATCGCACCCGCGGTGTGGGTCCGTGGGTAGGTAATAAGGGTGAAGGTCAAATCCCACTATTCGGTCAGACAAGAGCAGCCCAGACAGGGGCGGCGAGTCCTGTTGACTAGGTGCCATTTTTATGACGGATGGCTTTTGTGTAGCGTGTTCAGCAAGGGTTCTACTCTAGAAGAGGGTCATTGGGTTTTACAAATCGCCTCAGTCCTAATAAACCCGAACCACGGCTTCAATCTCGCATAAGATTGGAAATAACCGTTCATTTTGATTTCATCTTCAAGATGAGTGTTTAATTCAACGTATTCTATTGCTGGACACAGTTGCATAATTCATAAAGCAGGCTGACTAGTCGGGAAAGTAAACTGTAATATAAACGAATGATCTCACAGGACAATTTAGTAGGAAACGGAAAGAAATAAAAGACAGCATCATAAATAAACATTACATATAATTTTACGATACAAACAGTATGAATTAAAATTTAAGGAAGCAAGATTTGTATAAGTGACGGAGTAAGACGATATAGTCACTAATATGCGCAATGTAGCCATAGTCACCCATATCACCAGATCTTATACGTAACTAGATCTTGAAAGATGTGCATTTTTCTCTGGTGGTTTTGTTTACTTGTAGTTGGTTCTCTTGAACTTCAGTCGTGCAAACTTTTTGAAGTGATGTTAAGGAAGGACAAGATGGCGTAGTGCCGTAATTTCAAGACTCCAGAAAAGAATAAATGGTGGGATGATCGTGAATTTAAGGCGTTGTTTGAATTATCGAGAAACCATACGTAATCGAACACCCTTTTTTAACATTGTTTTTATTAACTTTAGTTAGTTCACATGAAATTGTCCCCACGCCAAATTTGTAACATTGTCTTCATTAATCTTAGTTAGTTTACATGAAATTGTCCCCACGTCAGAAGTGATTACTTCCTCTTATTTTACGTCACTATTGAACACAAAGTCTTCAACTTACCGTTGGGGAATAGAACGCCGACTGTTCCGGGGTGAGCGGGAGGAAAGGCTGATCGCCTGTGTAGGCTGCTGCCGCTGCCGCTGCTGCTGTTCCGTACATGTTTAGTGGTAAGCCCGAAGCTAATTATTGAAAAATGCATCGTTTAGATATGCTGAGTAGTTGTACTCAGTTTTTCTTTTTATTTACAGATTCTCATGCCAGGACAACCGGCGACCCAGACTCTTCACTCAGCCACCGCCGGACAGAACTGTTGCGAGTCCGGTCGCCCCGTTCTCACCGATCCCCTCACGGGACAGACCGTGTGTTCCTGCCAGTATGATGCCCAACTGCTCAACTACCAACGGCTAGCTCTATATCCTGCTTACATTTTGACAGTAAAACTACTAACACAGAGTTGTTGATGTCGCCACAAAAGTGTATTGGGCATAAAATACACCCAGCAAGTGTTCTTGTTTTGTTTTCCCTTACAAAATAGACATAAAATAAATACACTTTCCCAAGTGTATTCCTACGTTAAAAACTACGCTTAAAACACAAACTCCAAGTGTTCTTTTACTAGAAAACATACATAAAAAAGACTCAACAAAGTTATTTCTACATTAAAAAACAGACTTAAAATACACTCACCAAATTGAATTCCGGTATTAGACTTAAATACTTTAACTACATGAGGCGTGTTTTAATACCATAATAAAAATTTCAAATTGCTAAAGAAAATTTTCTAGTTAAATAATGTGAAAATTGTAGTGACTAAATGTCAAAGGTCTTGTTTGCAAGTTTCATCCTGTTGTTCAGTTCTTTTTGTGCTGCTATGCCTTTGTTCAATTCTTTTTGTGTTGTTTTGCAGTTGTTCAGTTATTTTTGTTTTGTTTTGCAGTTGTCTAATTCTTATTGTGTTGCTCTTCAGTTGTTCAGTTCTTGTAGTGCTGTTTTGCAGGTATTCATTTCTTGTTGTGTTGTTTTGCAGGTATTAGATTCTTGTTGTGTTGTTTTGCAGTTGTCCAATTCTTGTTGTGTTGTTTTGCAGTTGTCCAATTCTTGTTGTGTTGTTCTGCAGTTGTCCAATTCTATTGTGCTGCTCTTCAATTATTCAATTCTTGTTGTGTTGTTTTGCAAGTATTAGATTCTTGTTGTGTTGTTTTGCAGGTATTAGATTCTTGTTGTGTTGTTTGCAGGTATTAGATTCTTGTTGTGTTATTTTGCAGGTATTAGATTCTTGTTGTGTTGTTTTGCAAGTATTAGATTCTTGTTGTGTTGTTTTGCAAGTATTAGATTTTTGTTGTGCTGTTTTGCAGTTGTCCAATTCTATTGTGCTGTTCTTCAATTATTCAATTCTTGTTGTGTTGTTATGTCGTTGTTCATTTCTTGTTGTATTGTTTTGCAGTTGTCCAATTCTTATTGTGTTGCTCTTCAGTTGTTCAGTTCTTGTGTTGTTTTGCAATCACTCAGTTCTTGTTATGTTGTTTTGCAGTATCCCAATTCTCATTGTGTTCTTCATCAGTTATTCAATTCTTGTTGTGTTGTTTCACAGTTGTTCAGTTATTGGTTTGTTTTGCAGTTATTTAATGTTCGTTGTTTCGTCTTGCAGTTGTTCAATTATTGTAGTGTTTTTATGAGTTTATTCATTTCCCGTTTAGTTGTTTTGCAGATATCCTGTTTTGTTGTCCTTTTTTCGTGTTATGTAATTTAATTGTTTATGTTCTTATTTCATGGATATGTTGGTTCAGAATGTATATATTTTCACCTTCTTTTTATAATTTTATTTTCATTTACATGAGACTAATTTTCTTTTACTATTGGTCTTGTCTCATTCTTGCTGTGTCACTTCACAGAGTGATATCTATTTATTTAATCGCTTCTCTGCCGTTCTCAAATGGAGCTTATTAAAAGATAAATTCATCATATAACGAAAAAATTCGAAAGCCAATAACATAGAATCTTACATTAGGTAGTCATTGTTTGTACGAAAATAGCGACAAAAATAGATAATCTGCGCAAATCCGCTAGGTTTTACAAGACCAGTAAACTTGAAAATCGCAATCATCTATACGAGATCAAATGTAAACTTTTTAGATTTACAACGAGGTTATCACTGGGAGAACTACTTCTTGGTTTTTTTAATGAATAAACACAGTTAACACGCAAAACAAACCAAGACTTGTATTTTACACGGAAAACAAACAAATACTTGTATTTTACACGGAAAACAAACCAAGACTTGTATTTTACACGGAAAACAAACAAATACTTGTATTTTATACGGAAAAGGACTAATATCTTCTTCCTGTTCATTAGTCAATTTTTATGCAAATATGGTTCTACACGGAAAAGGACCCACCATCTTATTGTTCATTAGTCAGTTTTAATGCAAATATGGTTCTGCACGGAAAAAGACCCACCATCTTATTGTTCATTAGTCAGTTTAATGCAAATATGATTCTACACGGAAAAGGACCCACCATCTTATTGTTCATTAGTCAGTTTTAATGCAAGTATGGTTCTACACGGAAA